GTATGATAATTCTGGTTTTACTCCATAGCAAGAATAACTGGGATATTCCAAAATGACAAAGAGAGCTGATAAACAGTGTAAAATTATCTCAGTGATGATTTTCTTCTACACTTCATCATTAAAAATATTAAACAAAGCAAAGTTTAAAAGATTTTATAACAGACACCCATTTACTCACCATCTACATTTAACCATTCACATAATTAATTTCCATACTTTCCTTAAATAAATAAATACATGAGTAAAACAGGAGAAATGGTAAGGAATAAGACAAACATTTTGGAGATGGGGAAGAGAACTGGCAGAACAAGGAAAGAGGAGAAAAGGGATGGAAAAGGGTTAAAATTGCTTACATACATGCACCAGTTTCCCCAGATGAACATAGCCATTATGTATGGCAAACATACACTTGTAAATAAGAGTGTACATATGAAAAATAAAATATTTTGCCTCCTTATTTCACTGTACTTATACTTTGTAAAAACAATTTAAAATAACAAATTTGGCTGTTTATATTTAAGGTACTATCTAAAACATGAGGTTATGAGACACATTTAGAAATAAAATAGTTACTATAGTGAAGCACATTAACGTACCCATCATCCCTCATATTCACCCATTTTGTGTATGTGCCAATCTGCAGTACTTATTTGACAAAAATCTTAACTACAATATACTGTTCTTTTTTCCCCCAAACTGAACAATTTTATTTTGTCTTTAAAAAACCAGTCATCTTTTTGTCCTGAAGTAAAAAAAGTTTTAAAAAGCCAAGTACCAATTTTTAAGTTGTACATATATATGCCAACGCAATATATCAATATATAGAAGAACATTGTCTTAATAATAACGCAATGACAAAAACAGCTAATTATATGGTATAGTTTTAAAAAATGGAAAAAAGTGAATCCTATAAAGTTTTAATACCAAAATAAACATTATTTCAAAAAGTGGTTTGCTTTATAGAGTTTTAAGTTAATACAGATTTAAAGAAAGTATCCACTAAAATGGAAGACAGGTGGACATAGAATAGATAATGAACAGCATCAATTACTACATTTCTGCTTTTGGGTTTGTCCCAAAATTCTCTTGGATTTACCTTAGGTAAAATTAAGGACCACAGTGTAATGGCGAAAAACTTCATTTTAGCGTATGAACTGCTTAAGACTGCATATAAATTTTCAGAGCTAGACAAGAACACACCTTACAATAGTAATAGAGCCCTTTTTTACTGTAAATAATGAGAACTTTCCAAACGTGCCGAAGAAAAAGTAATTTTACATATGTTCCTTTGGTTCACTGAACTTTCTCCTTTTGGGCACAGACTCTTGACTAGAAAAATCACAGTGATAGAAGACGGTTTTCCCAAATGCAGGTTGAGTTCTCTTCTGAGTTTCTTTAGAAGATTTCATTGGTTGGGTTTCCATGTGCCATTTGATTCTGAAAGATTTTTCCACTTCGTGTTTTGCTTTCAGATATATCAAGTTCAGATGTTTTATTAACTAACTGTTCAACCTGGAAATGAGAAATTGAAAGATTGGGACTTTCTTTACACCTCATAATTTCATCTTCCTCCATAATTAAATTTGGTTCTCCAATTTTATAAGCTCCAGGGTTGTTTTTTTTTCTGTTCTTCCATTTTGGTTTTAAAGTAAAAATCATCACTTATATAATGCTCCTGTTCATCTTCTATATCATCTTTGTCCACCAGGATTTTCTGAAGAGGTGTTTTTAACTGTTTTGGTAATAGTATAGATGAATCAATATTTTCCATTCATTCTTTCTCAGTAGTAACTTTTACTATGAAGGTATGAAAAGGTGTTGAGGTTTTCCCGCATTTAAGTACATAGGCTCCCCTTCAAATATGACTCCTTCACAATCACCATCCTTAAAACCAGGAGGCTGGTAATATGGGGGTGTAACTTCATCATAGAAAAAGTTTCATGGCCAAGCAAACATCACTTGGTAAAGGTCCCAGATTTTGCATTAGAATATAAGCCTTTCGAATGAGAATATTTGCTTTCTTGGTGTCTGCAGACGACATGCTAGATTCACTGCTTTGATTTTTACTGATAAAGTCCATAATAGGTCCATTTTTGGTGTACTTGAATTTAAAGTGGTAACATTCTGAAATTGTCTGAGGGTCTTCTGGATTAGTGTATACAACTAGAATGACCATCCTTAGATTTTTTTTGTAAAGCATCATAGCATCCTGGCATCCACTTCACTAACTGTGTAGATCCTGGACAGTTTTTATCTTCTCTCAGAATTTTGACACAAAGATCATCTAGATATCTTGTGCCATAAGCACATTCTGGGAATATTCCTCTCAAATATGTGATGCAGGATACTGAAACTGCTAGGAGCCTCTTCACTAACACCAAAGACTGCTGCTTGGTTGATATCATATTGGGAAATATCAACTTACTCATGGAAGTCCTCTGCAACTGCGCTGTGGCCATCTTTCTCCTGATAAAATACTTTCTTTAATTCAACATGGAGTGTGAGGCGAACTGGCAATGAGATGAATTGCATGATGCGGCACATTCTCTCCTGAGGTGCATCAGTATACCGTTCTTAAGCATAGACCTCATGTTGCATATTAGATCTTTGCACTTTCATATCTCCTACATTGTATCTTTTCACCTACATCTGCTCCTCTGTAGCCTTTGACCTGCATTTCCACATTCCTTCCTCTATCCCACCCCTAGTGACGTGACTCTTTCATTCTCTATCTGTGTATATTTGACCCTATACAAATGGTGTACATCATTTGAGAGACCGTATACTGTTGTTTTCCCCATGGCTTGGTGGCTATGAGGGGAAAATGAGATGGTCCATAGCCCTCAGCACATTCCTCCCTCGGAAGGCCCATCCATCTCTGTCACCACAGGGCTTTTGTTTCTTCCCTCAGAGTAGACCACATGATCCAAGGAAAACTGTCTTTTGGGTGGATTATATGATGGGTTCTGGGACAGGGACATGTTAATGGTGAGAAAGCTCCTCTGGCTGAGATGGAATGGGGAAAGAGACATCCAAGTGTGTGTGTCCACACAGTTTGGGAGTAGTTAAACAAAAGGGAAAGTAGGCAAGGAGAAGGGAACACAAAGAAGAATGAACACTGAGAAAACATTTGAGAGATTGCCTAGTTCTCTTTACGAAGTTATCTTTCAGTAGTGCATTTTCAGTCCCAAGGGGCTGAGGACAGCTTGGCTCTGCCTCCTAAGACATCCTGCAGTGACCTTTGTGTTTGCCCCCTTTGTGCGGGAAAAACTCACCAAAGTCCAGGAACTCTGATCCACCTGCTGCTCTCAGGAAATAGGGTGAGCTGACTATTCTGGCGGAGAACAGGATGGATACATAGGAGCTGAAACTGTCTAGCATTGCTTAGCACTGCAAGACTGTGATGGCTTGCCTTTATAGTTGCAGTAATCATTATTTAGATTGAGCAAAAATGTAGAATTCAGTTACACTTCATTTTCTATACTTTAGTTTTACGCCAGGTTTAGTGTATATAACCAATTTCTAATGAAGCTTTGGATTGTTTTTGTAACCATTCTACTGGACAATACCACATATAATGTGTCAAGGTCTGTATATATAATGTTATTATTGTTCAAGCAACTTCTAATTTAATTGATTAACAGGTTTGTTAATGTCCTAATTCTAATAACTACTTTTTACAGCTGAGAGAGACACAGGACTAATACTACTCAAAATCATCAAACTCCTAAGTTGGATGAATTCAGAAGGACAATGTATTTTATTTGGATTACTTGTGTATAGTCTGCTTATTACCCATATGGTTTCCACCTATTGAAAATATAGTGGTTCTGCCCCAACTCTAGATAAAACTGCTAGAAATGGACTCTCTTTCATTTAATATTTGCCTAAAAGATCCCTGGTAGAGAATTTTACAGAGTCTAATTCCATCTCCTGGAGAAACCTCCCCTTAACTTTACCCTCAGAATCAAGATAAAGACAGTTATGAAAGATTGCCAGGGGGAAATGTGTGTTGAATTGAGTTTGAAGCCAGAGAATTTTAGTAATCGGTGAGGGGAAAGAAAAAGGAAAGAAACAGGAGAAAGACAGTTAAGACTCAGGAAGAGCAGGTTTGCTTACAGGAGCAAATGTTTCATTAAAGAACAATGAAAAGTGAGGGCAGAAGCATGAAGAAAAAGGGATGTCTTGATAATTCTAGAATGTGCTTCTGCAGTTCGGGAGAGTCATGGAATGCACTGAAGAAAGGTAAACTTCTATTTGCTTAGTGGTTACCGAGGCACACTGGAAAACCAGCCAGAAGCCCTAGGATAAAGTTCATATCAGATGTAAAGAGAGGAGTGATGGGGATGAGCACCAACAAGCGATTCCACTTCTAGTTGTTGAATGAGGACAGCACAGGCCAAGTTTTATTTAAGCCAGGCCTGAAAATTATCTGGGGACACCAGTTTCTGTCACATCAAAACTTCAAGTTTCCGGGTAGGAGTTTAAGTTTTCCTCTGTGCTCATCAGATTGTCCCCAGATGCATTAAGAAAATAATTTGATTTGAGTCTGACCTTACCCAATCTGTTTTCATCTTCTCTGAGCAATAAATTGGAGGTTTTCTTCCAGAGCCAACTTGTTCAAATGTCTTTTGAATTTCTCTATGTTTTATGATCAAGATTTTCAAACTGACAGCAAAAAAAGATTTTCAAACATCATCTTAATGGAATCTTGTTAATTTTTTCAAGTGTTAATATACTGAAACTTAATGAAGTGGCTATTCAAAGTGTGACCATATAAATGGTATCTTGAAATAAACCAAGGTGACTTAGAGTGTTTTGAGTTATCTAAAGATTGATTTATGCTAATACTAGCTCAAGAATTTTAGTCCTGGTAGCATTACCTAATGGTTTGGAGTCAGCTAGCTTGAATTTGAACCGTGGTTGTCCTGCTTGCTGGTCATATGACTTTATTTAACCTACCTCTCAGTTTCTGTATCATTTAAATAGGGAATGCTTACCTGACAGAGCAGCAGTTCTTAACAATTTGTCCCCAGACTAGAAGCATCATATTACTTCTGAGAACTTGTTAGTCTTGGACATCCTCAGGTCCCACCAAATTGTTTGAGTCATAAATGAATGAAGACCAGCAGTCTGTTTTAACAGCTGTCCAAGTAAATTTAATGCTTGTTAAAGTATAAGGACCACTGGCATAGGGTAAACATTATAACAATTGTAATAAATCAAGGTGAAAACACATATAAAGTGTTTGGTATAAGCCTGGCACAAATAAATGCTCCATAATTTTCAGGGATGGTGATAGAGCTGGTGGTGGTGACCACCTTCACAGAGCTGAATAGAAGATTTCATGATACTAGGCCACCAAATAGAATACTTTTTCTGAGAAGTGAAAACTAAGCTAGGGGCCTCACAAGTAGCAAATATTTGTTCCCTAAAAGTGCTCAAACATGAGGACATAATTTTCATCTGAGACGGTCATACCAACTTGTCAGTGGTTTAACATAGATTCTTTGAACTTACGCTTATTTTCTAAAACTGCTCAAACATGAGGCTGTACTTCTCATTTCAGACACAGTTATGTTGACTTGTCAATAGTTTAGCATAGATCCTTTGACCATGTGGGATCCCTGAAAACAAGATAAAAATAAATCAGCTATCATCACTTTTATTCACCAATAAAAAGTTGCAGGCTATCATTCTATCCCCAACTTCTACCACTCACTGTCGATGTGAAAAGCATGTCATTGCTAGGACTCTGAGAAACCATGATTTGTCTATTTACATGATGATGGATAAAAGCTGATCTTCTCTTTTTTCCAATGAAATTTCCATTGGACCCTTATGCACAGTATTCCTGCAGCAGGGGTGGGAGCTGACCCATTAATTAGCCCAAAAGTGAGACTTTATATGATTTCTAAATGAGAGACCAATACAACAAAGGATAGACAAAGTAATAAAATATAGTTTCCATGGTTTTTCTGTCAATTTATGCAAAAACTAGTTTTGAGGTTCTGCAGCTTCTAGGTCTAGTGATATGGCAAACAAAACAGCCCAAGGAATGACAACTAGAGGAGATAGATATTAACCAGACTGTCATATATTTGATTTTTTAAAAATTGCAATTGTGATAAATATCACGAAAAAGAGATGTATGGTGTTATATGAGCTTGAAAGATGAGATGAGACCCAATTCTTGTGTTGGAGAAAGCTTCCTTGAGGAAGTAAATTGAATTTGATACTTAGGAAAGGCAGAATTTTCAGAGATTCCGTGATTGTGGCTTCTTGGTTTTGTGCCTGTATATTCTCACCTTTGGAATGAGCAGAACTCACAGTTTGCTTCTAACCAATAGAATATACATAGCAAAGGTAAAGAGAACTCACTCCCATGGTCGCATTACAATAAACACTAGACCAGGAGGCTGGAAGTGGAAATGTAGAGAAGCAAGTGAACTTGAGAAAAATCTACAAGATAAAATTGACAGGACTATGTGATGGCTTAAAGATGACGGTGTGGAAGAGGGAAATATGAAAGATAACCTCCTCTGTTTCTGCCCTTGTTATTCTTGGGGATGATTAAAAGGTGGTCAGATGTGAGGCAAGTGGTCCAAGATGATGAGTTTTATGTACCAGGTAAGTGTGAGGCATGGAAACAAGTCACAGTAGCTGTAAGCAGCAGTTCAGAGTTCAGAGAAATGCTCTGGGCAGAAGAATATTTTCTTTGTTAGGAACTTTGCTAGAAACAGAATCATGGACTTGGTTGCCCAAGGAGAGAGAGAAAGGGAGAAGAAAAGACAAAAGAGTCCTCTATTTGAACCTTGTGGTTCTGCTCCACTTAATGGCTGAGAGCTGAGGGAGAGCCCTGGGGAGCAGGTGGGAGGCACCAGGAACTTCCAGAGAAAAGGGGAGAGCACCAGGGAATAGTGAGACCTGCGTAGTTACCTCTCCAAGTGTCCCTCTTGTGGGGTGCAGGTATCTTCACCACAAGCATTACTGAGACCCTCACTCTCCCTCCTTGATTAGCCTAGAAGCACTTGAAGGTATTCCTCACACTTTTGCTCTAACTCCCCCAATTCTAATAGCATACAGAGCACATAGTAGGCACTGGCCAAGTATTTCTTGAATGGAATCATTTCCTTGATATTTAAGAAAGGGTGGAATGAATACATGTGGAGACCCAACTCCTTCAAGCACATAAACAAATGAGCAGCGCACAGGATACTGTTTCATTAGGAAGAAGGTAAATACACAGCTATGTGACTAAAATAGTTCAAAAGCCATTTCAGTAGTTTCTGTTGCTGAAATATGTTTAATCAAATGTTTGATCTCTCAGAGATTTGGAGAACTGATAACAAAACAGGACTTTTTGGCTTTACCTTGCAATCAGAAGTTAATTATTGTTCATAGGCTTGGCGTTCCTTCTCTGTTCCTTCTCTCATTCTTGAAAATGGTGAATGCCCAGTGAAAATGGTATTAGAGTAATTTATTCAAAAATTCATAATGAATTTATTGCATTCATAATCAGATTTTGAACAAAACCTACTAGTTGTATACTGGGCTATAGGCTCTTTGGGAGTGTGTATAAACATCCCTGATGCCTTACCAGGTGCTAGTCGATAATACAGTCCCAACAAACCAGCCAAATCCAGACTTCTCAGAAAATGATGCTAGGGAACGATGCCCCACCTCCCCAAAACACTGTGTCACTCTTTAGAGATATAAGCCTCAAAAAACATACCTGCATTGGCTTCCTGAACGCACTGTAGCAAATAATCACAAACTGTATGCTGTAACGCAACGCAAACGTATCCTTTCACAGTTCTAGAGGGCAGAAGTCCAAAATCAGGGTATAAGCAGGGCCTTGTCCCTCCGAAGTTTCTGGGTAAGAAGCTGTATTAGGAGTTCCTTCTGGATGGGATATGACACTTCCCTCCCCAAAGTGCCTTCTGACTAAAGATATCTTCAGGATCTCCAGTCCCTACCATTAGCTATACTCTTTGAAGGACTCTTAGAAAGAGACACACGCTAACTAAGCAAAAGCATGTGCCTTGAGAAAAGTGAAGCACTTGTTAGCTAATGTTTCAGTGGATATTAACTCATTTGATTGATTTATCTCCCCAAATCACCTAACTTGGTGCTAAATTATAAACTATGTTTGTGAGAATCTAGTTCATGCTATCACTAACCATTATTAAAAAGTGATATAAAATTTATTCAAGGTTAATTCACCTTACTTCCTCCTAATCCAAGGTATTGTCTTCCCAAGAATTAGTTCTTATCAGAGAAAAAATGTTTTGGTGACCTGGAGGCGGTGGAGGGGTGCTTGTAAAGCCCAGGAAGTCTGTGATGCCCAGGAAACCAAATAACCAACCTCCTGCCATTGAACTTGCAATGGGACACATAACTGTCTTCCTCTTTAAACCCAAATGAAAGTGTTATGGATTATCATGCATTTTTCTCAGAATAATTTGTGGAGTCTCAGAGGGAAATATTGGCCAAACTTGTTTTTCAGTGCTCATAATTTTTATAGCAATATTACAGACACTTTGGAAGGAACATAGCTTGGAGGGACTACAAATATTGTCAAAAAATATGTACATCCTTGTTGAAAACAACCAGTTACTAAAATAATTCCAAAAAGGTGGAAGGAGAAAGAATGAAATTTTCCCAAGGCAATGAGAATGGTGTTGCTTATAAACTAAACATAATTAGGCGTCCTGACTCATGCTGATTGCTTATATTGGTGAGCATTTAGCATGGGGCTGGGAGGGCATAAGTTACTCTGGGCTAAGACATTTCATGTCAGATTGTAGGAGAGCAGAATATAGAACCTTAAACTTAGATTAAAGGCGTAATCTCTCTGATTCCCTGTCCACTGGATTTGATCATGCCAGTCCCTTAATTGGAAGGCCGAATGTGATCAAGGACCCCAAGTTATTGGAGTTCCAAGAAAGAATGATGTAATATGAACAACAAAGGCATATTAACCATGGTCTGTTCATTGGCTGACAAGACAGGGCAAGGACAATGGCGCAAACCACCACCATGTTCAATTTTCCAAAGCTGCAGGATGCAGCGTGTTGCTTCTTGACCTAGAAATGCCAGTGTCTTTCAACTGACAAATCAAGTCAAACTTTTCTTGACAGAATCAATTTCTGTTATATTATCAACCCACAAGATTCTAAAAGCACAAGGAAAAAAATATTATCTCCAGATTCCAGCACCCCAAAGTAACCACTGCTCTACATTACATTTTGGCATATGTTGTTCTAGTTTCTTTGAAATACAGTATAAATTTGGAAGCAACAAATAAGTAAATGGAATTCAAGGCTCACTCTGCATGAACTCAGTCATTCCACAAAAGTTAATGGACTCTGCTACATGCCAGGCATCATGAGCAACACTACAGTGACAAAGATGAGTAAGACCATATCATCTCCAAGCTAATAAGAAAGGAGACTTATAGGGGAGGGTATTAGTTTGCTTTTGTGTGAGCTTCAGAAATCAAAGGTGCTGAAATTTCCAAGTCCTTCCCTCGTGGCCACTTTCTCAGCTCAGCCATCCCTACTGCCCCCTGTTCTGGCAGGGGCCGTCACTAGCCTCGGGCAATGGCTTTAACATTTGAAACTGTCCTTGTACATTGTGTAGTGTCTATTTGTTCGTTACAGAAAAAGGTGCTGATTTCTGTATGTTAACAGACTTCCTTAATGACTATTCTATAAGGCCACACATGTGCTCCCATGCTCAAGGACAATTCTCCATTTCTTTCTCAGAGTCTCCTATCGTGAACAGAAAAATCATGACAAGTGCCACCTCAGGTCGGAGTAAAAATTCTGATAGGCCAAGGGGCAAAACAAGCCAGGAAAGGAGGCAGAGAGACTTCAGTTCTAAGTGAAAGCAAACAGCCCAGATGCCCCTCAGTGTAAAACAACAGCCAGAGTGAAAGAGAAGATAAGACCATTTTATATTTATCAAGCACTTATTATGTGCTGGATATCGTGCTAAACGCTTTGAAAACACAAACTCATTTAAGCCTCATGACATACGTAGGAGATTGGGATTAGAATTCTTGTTATATAGACAAAATATTTGAGGCTGGAGAACTTAAATAATTCTCCCAAGATTATCCAGTTAAAAAGTGGCAAACTGTGCTTAGCACCCCCACATCAGTGCTCTTAACCCCAGGAAATTCACAACCCGTAAGGTGAACTCTGGCCAAAAGAGGCCACACAGCACAAAGGAAGTTACATGAGCTTCCAAATTATACACACAAGTGGCTTCACACTCACATTCACATCCAAGGCCTATTCTTCCCCAAATCACCTAACTTGTTGCTAAATTATAAACTAGTTCATGCTATCACTAATCATTATTAAAAAGCAATATAAAATCTATTCAAGGCGAAGTGTCAAGTGGCTCTCTCTTGTTTTGGCCAGGCCCCTTAACTTTTTTGCTGGTTGGTTTTTCCCGTTTCTGTGTAGGGAGCCATATCTTGTTTGTCACTAGTCATCAACATCTTTGGTTGACTGCCAGCTTAGAACATAGGCCCCCCCCCCAATAACGTGTTCAGCAAATGCCAGTTTAACTTACCTTACCTTACAGGCAGGGTAAGAAAATGTATTTTTATGGGCCTGAAACACCTCAGAAGTGGCCAACCTCACCATCGCACAAAGGAAGGGTGGGTGGGAGAAAGTGAAAGGCACCAATGGGCTTTTTCCCTTAATCCGAACTTTCAGAGGATCTCTCCCCTTCAGGCATATTCCAGAATGTGTGAGGCCACTCGGAGAATCAAAGAGGGAGAACCAGACAGGCACAAACTCAGTGTGGGAACCTCACACAGAATTGTCATACTGGGATGAATTTCCTGGAGTATAAAGACGCTCGCCTTCATGCATGTGCACGGAGCCTCTGGCTCCCTCAAGCATTTTCAAGCTTAAGGCAATGCCAGGCTCAGTGTGTGCATGTCCTGTATTGTTCTCCTGAGGCAAAGGGAAAAATCCTTTTTGATTCCTTCTTCATCCATAGGAAAAAAAAATACATACTAGAGAAGTCCTTAGTGGTAACAGCACTGTCACTGAGCATAATAGAAATATTTTGAAGATAAATTTCTTCCAATTGCTGTGGCTTTTTATCCGGCAACTCAGAAAAGGGTGTTAAAATTGATAAGCAGATTTTCTCTGCAGTCAAGTAAAGTATCAGAGACTGTATAGAAGGAATGGTCACATTTATATTGTCTAAAATACTATCTGGCTTTTGTAAAGTGTGGGACTACTTAAGATACCACTGTTTATCTCCTACAAAGCTGACTACGCTGTTTTCTCACCTTTTCACAATAATCTCATAGAAAAACCTTTTTTCCTCTTTGTATTTAACATGGAATCTGGCAGCAACTCTCCTGGCTTTCTTTAGGGAGGAGGCCACTACACCTGATGAGCCACTCTCCCCCATATCCAATCATCAGCCGCATTCCCCTGCAATCAAGGAGGTCTTGGTATAAACAAATACTTTGGCCAAATTCAAGCCTCCCTCTCAGTGGTGATTTCCATATAAGCTGCTGTAACTCACTTTCACACTAGGATTTCTTCTTTCTGCCCACGACAGCATGTCCTCTCCCCTTTCCTTCGTCCCTATCCTCCCTCTGATGGCAGAGAGGAAGAGGATGATTCTTCTCAGCTCCTGGCTCAAGATGTGTATTCACCAACCCAAGGAGGAGGACAGAGGTGCTTCCAGGCAGCCTGTCCCCAGCGCTGCCGAAAGCGACCTCCCACACACTGCTTCCAGGGGAAGTTCCACCTGAAGGAGCCGAGGGCTTGAAAAAGGTTGTTTCTCTTAAAGAACCAACATGACTTTTGTGATTAGTCAAGAAGACACTATAATCCACAAGGTTTCTCTGCCCCACTGGAAAGCTCCAAACCAGAAATTGTATTATTTTTTGATAGAATTTCTTGATACAAATTTTTCTTCAATTGTCACTTTGTTTGTTGTCTTACAAGTCTGCTTCATCAGAACTCCATTTCTTTTCTGACTTGCCTCAAACTTTTTTAAAGTAAATGAGGTATGAATAAATAGTTTAAAAGTGGTTCTCATCCTTCTAACCATACTTTTCCTGTCACCTAAGCAAGAGGAAAATTATATCAGGTAAAACAATTTAGAACCATTTTCCTAACGAGGGATTTCTAGCTAGAAGCTCTTGGCCGTGCACTAAGATCAAAATAAAGACAGTAATTCTGTCATTCATATAAAAAAGTCACCATCCGTAAACATTTACTTATGGATTCAAATCCAACTCATTTTTGCTGTCTGAAAACTGGACATTTTGCTGCCCTGTCCTAATGTTTTTATAATACCATTAAGTTCAAAATCATCCCATTTGATAGATAGATAAACTGAGTCACAGAAAGTCAAAATAAAAATCAAATCACAGAAAGTCAAAATAAGTAGGGTAAAAAACCATATATACTAATTTATAGAACAAATTATAAGTGAAAAAGATAAGGGGGTAGAGCTAACTTAAAGTCTGCAAATTGGAGCCATACGACCCCACTCTAACTCAAATTATCTTAACTGGACAATTTAAAAGGTTAGGTCTCATTTCTCTTCACCTATAATTTCTCTAAAGAAATGATGGTATTTTATATATTTTACTTCTTGAGGGGGCACTATCGATTGCTATTTATCATTTAATAAAATAATCCTAATTAACATTTTTCTGTTCAGGAGAGAGAAAGATAAATCTGCCTTGGAAAAGCCTGTTACTCCAAATCAGATCATGTGATTCACTAAACACATCCACCAAATTAATAAAGCACAACACATTACAGAGTGAGAAAAATGTAATCAGAGAGACTGAGGCAGAGGTCATCCTATACAAAACTTATTTATGATTCAACTACCTGTGTCTGCAATCAAGGCGTGACATCAGTATAACTGCCACTTCAAAGACGCATACATATACATTGTACTAAACGTCTCAGAAAGGGGCCAGAAATTCTGAGGGGAGTAAACCAAGGCAGATACAGAGGCAGGCGATGAGGATAATGCCCCTCTACTCCTGTTGTCTGACTACAGAACTACCGCGACCCTCTCAGCCTAACTTTCTCCAGTCATTAGAATTGGCCAGGGTCACGGCAATCAATATACCCCAGAAACATGCTCACAGAAGTGAGCCATGTATGATCCCAACACGAAGCTGGGTTTGTGAGCATGTTGGTTACGAATCCGGCGGCAGTCTCACTTTATTTGCGCCTATATATTTGAAAAAAGGGGGGGAGGGGTACACACCCAAGTTTACTTTTTTAAAACTAAATAACGTTGCCTTGTGGCACTTATATTGTATCTATTACACATTTCACTTCAAAACCTCATCTCCCCTAAACCCTCTTCAATGCGCTTGAAGTAGCACTGCCAAAGGAAAGGAATTTTCTATTTAACTAGAGCACTGACATTCTGTTACACAATTCGATCTTGTCTATTTACCTGCTCTCAAAAACACAAGATACTAAACACGAAATGCTGAATGCGTGGAGTCTGCGGTGCCATAGGTGTCTGAATGCATCTGTAGCTTCCCTCTCACTCATCAGTGTAATTGTTGCCATGTTATTCCATTTTTTGATTAGTCTAGTCCCTCAAGCTCAATGCTTTTTTCTGGCCCAACGTTCTTCTGCTGGTTGTCATGGTGACTGAATTGTTAGAGAGGAGAAAGGCTCTGTTGTCTGTCATTGTTCTGTTGTGGTTTAGGTAATGCAGGAGGCAACACAAGTGAAGTGGATGGACCTTTTTTGCTCTGCATCATTTCATAGTATTGAAAAATCTCACATAAAAAAGGAGCAAATAGGCCCAACCAAAGAAATAACCAAGCTCTTTCTAAGGAAAGTGCACATTATTATAAAGAGGCAAAATGGCACTAATGATGAACTGAGTAGTCTATGAAAAATGCTGCTGAATATTACATTTATTACTAGAACAATCGCTGCAACTTAAACATCACATACAATACCTACCATTTTGCAATTTGGAGTAAATATAGTTTTTAACTATAGAATTGTAGCATCAACCCTGATTCTGTAGGCTGTGTTACTTTAACCTTACGTTCTGTTTAACCTAAAGACATCATGTGAGGTGTTGAGATTGGAGCGGGATTAAGAGTTGGGGGAATTTTCTTTTGGTGGTCAGATGGTATTAGGGTCAATTTCCACTTTGGGAATGTTCAAATAATTTTCTTCAAGATTGAAACTGACTATAAAGAAAGCCTTCTTATTTCAAATGGTGTAAGAGGTTTTCAAAGCTAACTAAAAATAATTCCTCCTCTATTTTTCAATTTTCTTGATTTTTCTGGCTAGAAAGTATAGGACTATAGCATAGATACATGACAAAGAAAAGTGAGTATCATAGAAAAGGAAAAAATCAACAACTGTTCCTATGAAAACTGCTTTGAATCATCTTCCATCATTACCTTGGTAGACATATACTTTCATTAGTACTGGAATTATTTTGTTCACTACAAATTCATTCATTTTTTTGAGTTTTAGAATAATTTAATTTTATGTAACTTTTATTTAATTATCAAAATGATACAAAGATTTAAGTCAATGTCATCTGATGAAATACAGTTTGAAAATTAAAAAAGAAAAAAGTTCACTATGAAAGATTTTCCTCCCATGCCTGAAACCCACCTGTTTTAGTTCTCCCCACCCCCGCCCTAGTGCTGAGGACTGAACTCAGGGCCTTCACCCTGAGATACGCCTCCAGCCCTTTGTAATTTTTTTATTTTGAAACAAGGGCTCACTAAGCTTCCCAGGCTGGACTTGAACTTGCAGTCTTCCTGCTTCAGCATCCCAGAATGCTGATGTTACAGGCATGTGCCACCACGTCTAGCTTGTTTTAGTTCTCTCTCACTCCTGTATATGTAAATATTGTTGTTAAGATTTTATTTTGTTTTGGTTTTCAAACTTTCCTACACAGATATTAAGAAATGCTAACAGAGTCTTAGATTTTCTCTTGCATACACAAATACCAGCATATTATTCACATTGTTCTGCTCTCTTCAGATGCCTTTTCATATCAGGACATAGAGATCTTTTCCCCTTTCTTCTTTATACAGCAGTGTAGTACTTCATTGTGTAGGTACACTGTAATTTACCGAATTAATATTAATGTACATTTGTGCTCTTCTTGATACTCTGCTTTTATAAAAAATAATGATATATATTTTTAATTTCTCCTATATGCAAAAGTGAAAGCTAAAATCTCAGAAGTGAAATTTCTAGGTTAAAGAATATATTTGCATTCAATTTTAACCAAAATTGTTCAGTTCCCCTCTGTAGAGGTTATTCTAATTCACACTGCTATCAGCAGTGTAAAAGGGTACCTATTTCACCAAAATTTACTGACAAATATGAAGCTACCGAAATTCTGCCAATCTAATTAGCAAAAAATATATGGTACCATTATATAGTTTTCATTTGCATTTTTGTTACTAGTGATGTCAAGTATCTTTTCCTGTTACAGAACCAATTGTATCTCATGTTAATAATTTGTTTTCATATTGTGTCCATATTTTGGGGGGTATTAATGTTTTTCTTTCTGTATTTGGGATATTTATCTTTTTATTGTGTTATGAGTGGCAAATATTTTTCTCAATTTTTCATTTGTCTTTTGACTTTGCAAATCTGCAGCTTTGTCCATGCAGAAGTTCTGATTTTTATGTCATACCAATTTTTTTATGGCTTCTGGCTTTTGTCTCCCTTCCTTACCCCAAGATTATAAAGAATTCTCCCATGCATTTTTGTAATCCTAGTGCTGTTTCTTTTTCTTTGTGTTTCTTTAAAATGTTAATATTACTATTTTGAGTTTATCCTTGAACAGGCATAAGACACAGATCCAGTTTTAAATTTTTCAGACAGCTATCCAGTCATTCTTAACCAATTATGAAATAATCTCTCTTTTCCCACCACTGACTTTTGAGCCACCCTTTATCAGAGACTACAGTCTATGATATTTTCGGTTTATTTCTGGAATTCCTGTTCTATTCCCTGACTGTTTCTCCAGGGAGTAATAGTACAGTTAATATAGTACAAACACAATGAACAGGAAACTGCAAAAACTGTACTTAGTTCATAAACGTTCTTGGTTATATTTGTATTTTCGCACCACAAGTATTTTGTCATATTTAGCCACTGCTGACAGCAACATCGCCATCATCCAAACCTGATTCCTGAGGAAGTATACCCATTATGTGGAACCAGACCCTGATAGTCATTCAATTTTTCATAAAATATGGCTCAGACAGCACCAAATTTTCAATTAAAACTATAAGGTAATGAACAAGGTAGAAGGCTGTTTTCTCTTTCTGAATATGCCTTTAAGGGTCCAGAGCTGTGGGGTGTTCACAAGTCTTAGAGTACATTTGTTCAGCCTCTCATAGCGGTTTACAGCAACAGAAATCTGCGAACCACGCTGCTCTAGCTTTCTGAGGGTGCTCCGCGATAACTTTAAAGCCTAGCCATTAAAGAGCCTTTGAAAGGGCACTTACTATTTAGTACCCAGTAAACATATATTTTGATTTTCTTTCATACTGTTTAATGGCATAATATTCAGCAAGGACCGGTGGAAACCAGCTAGCAATCACAACAGACATACTCCACAGAGGAGGACCCGCACTTCCCCGCTTGTGCGTCCTTCCTCCCCGCAGCACAAGGGCTTCGGCCCATTTCATCATCACGCCAAATATTCACAAGCTTGTTGTCTGTTATTGGTTTAATGTAGTACATTCGCACAGATTGAAGTTGATTTTCAGTAAAGGTCTATAAATAATACTCTTTGGCTGTGATCTTGAGGCTTTTGAGATCAGACTTCCTGCTTCCACCCCTCCTTCTTAGCAAGCATTTCAACACTGGGGAGAAGATTAATGTCCTCACAACAAAAGATGATTTGGGGAGCAGAATCTACCCAATAATCAGAAGTGGCGAGCAGAAGAGGGCAGGTGGTGACCTCTCTCTGCGACACGCGCAAGAAGAAGCTGGAGGAGAGTTCCTTTTTGCTTAGAAAGTGCCCAAACCACTCATTGCGGGAAGCGTTTGGCTACCGATCACTTCTCGGAGGCCCATTATAAAAGGTGAGCAAAACTGAAAGCTCTCCCCGTCCCTCCCCAATTAGTTCAGATTGCAGTCGACCTTCAAAGATATCCATTGCAGGGGAGTTTTTCTGGTGATGATGCTGTGAAAATAATTTTCTTTTTTGAAGGGCTTTCTCGCTATTCTCTCCCCATGGCAACTTTTGAAAATTTGCTAAAACGCACACACGCACACAAACCTCTCAGGCTATCCACAAGCTCTCTAGGTGAGTGGGAACAAATGGCAGCCTATCACAGAAGTGCACCCAGGACAATTGCACAGTTGTGATCATTTGGGGATTTCATACAGTCTCTCCTGCAGGCCCCCTCCACCACTGGGAGATTTTTTTTTTACGTACACAATAAGACAAGGTAGGTTGAGACTAAGGTGAGTGCAGAGATGTTTGTTTAATTAAGCAAAAGGTAATTTGTCCTAACTGCTTTAAAACTGCAAAGAGAAATATCGTATTATGCCAATCTCTGCACAGAAAGGGTAGCAAGAGAGGTAAGGCGTCTATATCTTTGGAGCATCTGTGCACTTGTTATGTGCATGAATTCAATGGCTGAGACTAGAAACTGACGGGTGAGGGAGCTTGTGGAAATAGAAAGGGAATTTGTGGACTGGATTCTGCCAAGGATCTGAGGGGATCATGGTCTTGCCCTGGTGCTAGTGCCAGGGCTTAAGTCACGGTAAGACGTGTCATATCAATAGAAACTTCCCTCATAGTCATGAATATCTATTTGGTGTGTAGGGAAGAAAATCATACATACCCCAGTTTTTGGTAAGCACTAGTCTCATTTCAGCCATCCTAATGTTCCACTGATATTTCTTTTCTGGGCGCCCTTATTGTAAAATGTTCGTTAAGTTAGGTCCCCCAAAGCAAAAGCTCGAGGTCACTTTCATGTAGTAGAATTTCTGGAAGAGGAAAAAAATGGCTGTTTGTAATTTTTCTGCCTAAACACAAGAATGGCGTGCCGGGAATAACGCTGAGGCTCGGAGTTAATGGCCGCACTAGGAACTGGAAGCAGCACCTGTGGACCAGAATTTAAATCCCACGGACAGTTTCTCTTCATGCTTTTAGGGAACATGAATGAGGAGATAATTTAAAAATAAGCTCAATCCTACTTAAAAAGATAAGAAGGAACTGGATGTGTGTAAATGTTTGCATTAAATATGACCAAGGACTGCACTGTATTTAAACGGCTTGGCACTTTGAAAATGATGGAATCAGGCTTCATAATGGTACAAGCTCATACTTAAAGGAACTAAATTTGAAATATAGGTGCATAGTGGAAAAGGACAACAGACACGTGATGCATCAAAGAATGAAACTTACTAAGTTTCATGATTGCCCTTATGGGTAGCCTCTCTGCTCTGACAATGAGATGTGAATTATCCTATTATTACAAGTGAGGAGATCATCTTATTAATGCACCCTAGTCCTTCACATTTTTATTTAACTTTAAATTAAATTGAACCATTTCAGGAACATCCTCCCATCCCATAAAACACAGGTTGATACCCAGCAATG